AGCTCTCAAAAGCTTCATTTCCAATGGTTCATTTATATACCCAGCTTGAGCTTGCTGAAAAGTCTCCTGCTCTTCCCCTCCCCCCCCGGCCCAGACAGATGAAATTGGTAGTATCTTGGGAGGGAGTCTAGCCTGAACAATCAAAATGTTTCCTAGAGTTTGTATCGTATTGATTGCTCTGGCGTCGGTTAACCACCAAACATTTATCATGATTTAAATTTGCATTCTCAAGACTTTCCATGTCTTGTCCAAAAGAGAATCATGGCGAGTCACGGAACAGTGGTATATAGACCACAAGATACTGTGAAGATGAATCCATTGGACTTTACATGGCTTTTAGGCAGATCTACCTGACCCAAAATGTTGTCTTCACATCCCGTCTGATCATTCAAAAATTTAAAATTCAGCTGAAACCCAGATGGTGATTGTTTTTTAGTTTATGAAAACCTGACTCTACCGCTGTTAATCTTCCCATGTGAAATTTGTGTAAAAGTTCTTGGTTTCATATTGACTTTCTTGGGTGTTTTTTTTTTTTAATTAGTCATATTTGTAACTATAATAAGTGGTTTTCTATGTGATCTGATTTGACAGTGGAGGATTTATGTAGATTGCTCTTTACCTAAGCCTGCATCGAAATTTCACACTCACTGGCGAGATTTCTTTTGTTAATTTCCTCCAATAAGTATTTCCATATATATATCAGTAGTCCAGAATTATATCTCAATTCACTGGGTTAGTCCTAATTTTTATATCTTTTTAAACAACCAAACAAGCAAAGAATAGACTAATCCCAGGATACTGAATAAATTAAAACTAGACATAGGTTTGTTTTATTTTTTCACTGCTCCTTCGATCTCAGTTCAAAACAATATAAAACATTCAAATAGTATCTGGACTGGCTGGTTTCAGACCTCGGCTAATAAATTTTCTTTCTTCTTTTGCAAAAATATTCCACCACACTTTTTGGGTTCGTGGAACTAAATGCTTCAGTTTACAATTAGGCCACTGTTTCAAAAAGCAGGGGGTGGGGAGTGGGTGGGGCAAGTAATCAGTCTTTTGACTATTCTTATATCATGAGCAAAAGTCATCGACTGTAATGAGATGAGCTCTCATGCTAACTTCATTATTTAACTTGAGCTGTGTTAAAAGTTCATGTTCCACTGTTTTCTCGGTAGAATATGACACAGGAAGTCAACATCAGTTAGGACAATGACTTCTCAGAAAAATTTTTTAAATTATATATTTTTATTTATTGCAATTTTTGACATGTTACTTTTTAACAAAAGTTTACACAGATCTTAGTGTGTCTTACTTTGAACACATACTTCAGTAGTTCCATTTTTTAATCCTTATGGAAAGAAAGAATATTAATTAGTTTTACAGGATTGTTAGAGTCTCAGGGCCTGTTGAAGGGTATTTGACATGGAGTGTCCCAAGCAGGTTGGCACTGAGAGTATTTCATCTTGAACTTTTGTAAGTTATTTCTACTTAGCATTCTCAAGAGGAAATACCTTTAGAAAGCAATAAAATTTGTTTATTTGTGGCATATATATTTCTCATGTAATAAATTTGAAAAAAAGAAACACTAATTTCATTACTGGTTACAGAAAAGTTGACTTTAATGGAATTATGAATCAATAGCATAGATGTTTACTATTTTTAGATATTACCATTTTCATAACTTGAAATGCATATTCAGATATCTCATGCAGTAT